AGTTAGAGGGGTGTAAGATCAGGCAAATTATTATGAACATATGCCCAGGGGTTTATTGCAAGACTGAATTTGTATTATCCAGCCTGTCTGATGCTTTTGCTAATGCTGCTTTATAACTGGCCTTATTTTAAGAACTCTGGAATAAGTTTATGATGGTGAAAGTTCATATGATGAAAAGTTTACTCTGTCCAATTTAACTTTATCTTATAAATCATTTTTTCCATATTAGTAATCTATTAGTTAGTCCTACTGAGTATAATTGAAAAGCATTTAATCCTGCAGGCTCTGCAAGGACAAATATCAAGTCAGCAGGTTGCTGTAGAGAAACTGAAGAAAACAGCTGAAGTGCTTTTGGATGCCAGGGGATCTTTACTTCCAGCCAAGAATGATATCCAGAAAACACTTGGTAAGATATTCATTGCCTTGCTTCCTGTCTCACAGGTGAATTCTAAATAAAGGTGTTCTGACAGATAAGGAGAAAATGCTCATGACTCTCTATTATGTCATTTGTGATCTTTGTGGAATGGTGTTGCTGAATCTGGGAAAAGGCATGCCCTTCTTTGACAAGTATATTAGAGTCTTAGGGGTGGGGCTGTGTTGCTTGAAATGAGTATATTTAAATTTAAATTTTATATTTGTGAAATGTAACGAAACTCTTTACATAATGTCCACCACAAGAAGCAGAACTCTACAAAATTCTCTGGGTTGGTGGGATTGGGCAGAGATAGGCTTTCAACCTAGGGCCAGAATAGACTCTCTGAGGGTCTTTATCAATAGTGGGAGTTTAAGGAGTTGAGAGATGAGCTTTAAAGCAGTGTTTCCACTTCTCTATTCTCTAAAGGAAGTTTTTGAGTGATCTCACTCAAACTTAGGGTTCCTGTTACCCCAGTTCTTCAATGATGCTAGAAACTTGTCTATTATTATAGAGGTACTTTTGTGCCCTCTTGCATGAGATGAATATATTTCTTGAGAGAACTACTGTATATTATTATTTTTATCTACTCACAGTATTTAGTTTATGCTAAATGTATAATGGATTATCTCAGTGTTTTTTACTGTCTTATTGTATGTATTTTTGTTTTTGCTTTGCTGCTTTTCATAATATTTAATGTGTGGGTTGAGGTTATTATATATTTCTATGTGTGAATGTGTGAAATAAAAACCTTCCACAGCAGATGATGAGACATATGTTTCACCCCAAACAGAGCATGAATTTAAAATCTGGGTAGAAATTTTATGTGAAGAGAAGGATTGGAACTTTGCTTTTCTAAGACAACTCTGTAGAAGAGAAACCCTTTTTTTTCATTCTTACAGACATCCAAACTTTTTTAATCATGTGTCCTTATCAAAAATGATTTTCAGCCTGTACCCTCAAATATGCACATATATGCATATAAATTATATGTAATATTACTATATTATTATGTGTACTATAATTATAAAACACAAAAATGTAGAATTTTAAAGTATAAGATGAAAATATGAATGAATTTCTGACATTTTGTTTCTCTGTCCCAATGCACCATCTTGCATATCCATATTGGAGGCTACTGCTGTAAGGACTTACTTGGGTACAGGGATTTGAAGGAGAAAGACAGACTATCTTATTTGTATTTTTGTTATTTGAAGAAGCATTTTGACATTCCCCCATTGTTAAGTGTACACAATTTTATTTTTAGTTTTAAAATTCATTTGTTATATTATTTTAAGACAGTAAAACTTCTCTCTGGCATAATTTTCTAGGAATATGTGAAACTGTATTTAAGATACAGAGGAGTTTCCCTGAGACATATCTGACTTCTAAGAAAACCAACAACTAAAAAAATAACATTCTTATGGTAGATTTTTTGTACCTTTTTCTAAAATAATTTTTAGAAAGTTTTTAGAAACAAGAATTTACATCAGCGACAATATTTTATCACTAAGACGTATAGAATAAACAGTGTCTTTATTCAGACTGCTATAACAAAGATACCATAGACTGGGTTACTTAAACACCAAGCATTTCTTTCTCATAGTTTTGGATGCTGGAAGGCTGAGATTTGGGTGCCATTATGGTCAGATTCCTGGTGAGGGCCTCTTCCTGGCTTACAGATGGCTGCTTTCTTGCCATATCCCCACATGGTTGAGAGTGATGGAGAGAGATCATCTCTCTCGCGTCTCTTCTTACAAAGACACTCATCCCATTCACAAGGGCTCCACCCTCATGACCTCATTACCTCCTCAGAGAGACAGGAAAAGCCTGTGTTTTTCCTCCTCTCTCATGCCATTCAGCACAACAAAGAACACTTCTATGACCAGATGTGTGGGGTGTTTTCCCTGCACTCCAAGCAATTCTCAAGTGGTTACCAGCTGGGAGTCCTACAATTCAATTCTGATACTATCTGCCTGGAGTTAGCATCAGATGCTAAAAGTTAAGGGCTCAGTGTCACAAGACTGTCCCCATATCAGGGGCCAGTCACCAATTCTAGGTTGTGACCTATGCTTTGGACTGATCAGCTATAAATCAGGGTTCCCATGACACTTGTTGGGTTCAATTAATTTGCTAAAGTAGCTCACAGAACTCAGGGAAACACTTTACTTATATTTACCCATTTATTATAAAGGATACTACAAAGGTTACAGATGAATAGCCTGATGGAAGAGATGTGTAGGTGAGGTATAGCAGAAGGGGAGCAGAGTTTCTGTGCCCTCTCTGGGCGCACCACCCTCCAGACACTTCCATGTGTTCAGCTATCTGGAAGTTCCCCGAGCCCAGTCCTTTTGGGTTTTATGGAGGCATGATTGATTACATCATTGACCGTGGATACTAACTCAGCCCTCAGATGCTCTACACTCCCTGGAGGTTAGGGGATGAGACTGAAAGTTCCAACACTGATGACATGGTCGGTTCCCCTGTCACCCAGCCCCCATCCTGAGACTGTCCAGGAGTCCACTGATCATTACCTGTTTAGAACAAAGGATGCTCCTATCACCCAGGAAATTCAAGGGATTTAGGAGCTGTGTCAGCTGTTCCTATTAGGAAGTCACAAAGGTCTTAGGAGCTCTGTGTCAGGAACCGGGGTCAGAAACCAAGTATTTCTTATTATATCATAATATCACAGCTTCCAAAGGCCCCACTTCCAAATGCCATCACGTTGGGGGTTAGGCTTCAACACATGAATTTGGGAGGACACAGACATTCAGTCCATAGCAAACAGTAGCACTTAAAGTGTGTTTATTATATGAAAATAGCCGACTTTGCTTGGAAAATCACTTTTCGTGGCTCAGCAGATCACTGATGTTACTCACAGAGCTACCTAATTGAGTAGCAGCTAACCTGCCAATCTCAAGCATCTGCTCTTGTGACTTTAAAATTAGGGCTCATATCTGAACCCACTGCTTGTTTCCTCTGCTTATAGCATCTTGGTGCATGTTAAATGCCTTATCCCTCCCCACAAGCATTCTTGTGGGCTTCATCATGTTTTAGTAAGAGGAGCGTGATTGTCTCTTTAAATCATCTAAACTTAACCTCTCAATGCAGTGAAAATTTGACCAGCTGTTTTCTCGTGATAGAGCATTAAAACGATCTAAAAGAAATATTGTTTTGTTATATGGATTATGTTTCATGGGCTAAACACAACATGTAAGATATTTTGTTTTTTAGAGACGTATCAAGTCACAACTTTCTTCTGCTGAAGCATTCTATGATATATCAGACTAAAGCATTCAGAAATAATTAAAATACTTTTCGAATTCTTGAACAATACATGATAAATTAAATTCATGGTTAAAAAAAGATTGTATTTCAGAGAGATGAATACATTAAAAACCATTGTTCTTCAAACTTCTCATTGTTCTGCAATATAGAATACAGGATGTTAAAATGTAGTCAAATGGGTGTGTGTGTGTGTGTGTGTGTGTGTGTGTGTGTGTGTGTGAGAGAGAGAGAGAGAGAGAGAGA